GCTGGGGGCGCTGAACCTCTCCTGGCGACAACGACATTTCCTTTCTGGCCAGCCCTGGGGATTCTGGGTAGTGTAGTTCGGCTTCTGCCTCGGGTCCCTGGTGGGCTGCCCCTGTGCCCCTAGAGCTCTTCAGGCCAGAGGCTCTGCGCACCTGAAAACAGACTGCCCTGCTCTGCTGTTCCTGGCTGCAGAGAGGTGGTGGCTGCAGGAGACAATGCACGGAACCTTCAACAGGGTAGGGCGAGGAGATTAGGAAAAGGGTCCTAAGCCTGTCCCCTCCCTCCTGGGCCTCCTCTTACCCTGCCAGGTGACCAGGTCTTTTGGGGCTCAAGGGTATGACCAATGACAAACTCTGGACAAGCTTCTTTATTTCATCCACAGCCACCCTGTGGAAGGTCTGTTGTTATGCGCATTTTACAGAGAAGGAAGGGAACTATGGAAGGCAGAGTGGTAAGGAGTTGTGCTGCCAGCCCAAAAGTCACTGGATTCAAATCCACCAGTTGCTCTGAGGGATAAAGATGGGCAGTCTCTTAGTGTGGAATGTGTTGCCTTTGAAAGCCAACTAGTGGGTTGGTTATGAGTTAGTTTTGACTCAATGGTTTTAACATTAGAAACAGCAACAACAGAGAAGGAAACCAAGGCTGAGACTTGGAGATTCGCTCAAAGCCCCACACCTGGGAAATGCTGGAGCTGAGACTGGGATCATAGTTATCTGGTACAGCGGCTCAAGGAGAGTTTTGAGCCTGCATGGATGCTGGATAGCTCTGAATCTGTCTAAGCAAGTTTGTTGTTGTTAGACGTCTGTGGAGTTGACCGCAGCTCTTCCACCAATACCAGTAACCCTGCTCCCACTGTGCAGCTAGTATCCCCCACCCCAGGGAAAGAGTAGGTGGTTTATGACATCAGACAACTTGGCAGTCTTGGAGCCTGGCTTCTCACCCATGACCAAGGTTTCTAAAGGCCCCCAGAGCTGGGTTCCAGGTAGGTGATTCTAGAAGCTTGTTCTAAAGCCAGACATCCTGAGTGCACATGAGAGGAGGGGCATGGAGAAACCAGGAGGCCCCTGCCAATCTGTGGTCTCCCCTCTGAGAGATAGATAACCACAGGCCCAGGAAGCAACCAATTAAAGTGGAAAGTGGCATCTGTCTCTTGCCCAGCTTTGTCCCACTCTTATCTTCGCCCTGTCCTCTGGCACTGGCTCATGTCCATACACAAATACGGGAGCTGTCCCTTTCCAATTCAGCTTGGTCCTAGTCTCCTGACTTAGATCAAGGCAAAGTGGCACACCCAGTGACCCTCAGACAGCATGGATTTCTTAAGGACCCCATCTTGTAAATGTCTATTTCCAAGAAATCTTTCCTAACTTCCATCCTCACTCTCCTGCACCATAAACTCACTGCCCTATGAAGGGATTCAGTGCTTAGTCCCTTGTATTATCCAGTAATTAGATGCTACTCAGTTTATACGTATTGAAGAGGTATGGTGGAAGGACACAGCCCCTACACATACCTTTCCTTATTTTAAGCCATGCAATATCTCCTTATCCTGTTCAAACCAAGCCTTCTTGATCTATGTATAGATTTCACATGAGCAAAATGAGGTGTTCTGGGATTCCCAGTCTTCTCAATGTTAGCCATAATTTGTTATGATCCACACAAACACCTTTGCATAGTCAATAAAACACACGTGTCTTTATGATATTCTCTCCCTTGTCAGCCAAGACTTATCTGACATCAGCAATGATATTCTCAATTCCAAAGCCTCTTCTGAATCCATCTTGAATTTCTGGTAGTTCTCTGTCAATGCAGTGCTCCAGCTGCCTTTGAATAATCTTCAGCAAGATTTTACTTGCTTGTGGTATTAATAACATTGCTGGACCATTTCCAAATCCATTTGGATTATCTGGTTTTGGAATGGGAAAACATAGGGATCTCATCTAGTGAGTTGGTCAAGTAGCTGTCTTTCACATTTCATGATTTAGCCTAGTGTGCACTTCCAGGGTTGCAGAAACACATCAACTGGTATTTCATCAATACCTGGAGCCTTGCTTTTTTAACCAATGCCTTCAGTGAAGCATAGACTTCTCTTTTAAATACTACTGGTTTTTATCATATACTCCTTCTTGAAATTATTTCTTTCGACCAATTCCTTTTAGTATAGTGACTTCGTGTATTGTTTGTGTCTTCATTTGAGGTTTCCTGAAACATTCAATATTTTACCCATTAAATCCGTTGGCATTGCAACGCAAGGCTTCAGTTTTTTCTTCTGTTAAATAAGCTTGAGAAATTCTCAGTGTGTTCTCCTCTTTTGATTTTCTAACTTCAAGTCATTGCACACTTCATTGTAATACTTTGCTTTTCTTCTCAAGCTGTCCTTTGAAATATTCTGTTCAGCTCTATCATTTCTTCCTTTTGCTTTAGCTTCTATACTTCAAACAGCAAGTTTTGAGAAGCTGAACTACATGAAGAAGAATGAGTAATCAAGATTGGTGGAAGGCGGTATTTCCCTGGTTTGTCCCTCTGCCCTTTCCTCTCTCTGCAGACCAAGGAATCCTGACCAGGAGACCTCTTAATAAAGCTTCTTTAGCTTCCTTTCTTTCTCTGCTCCCTTCCTTGAGTCCTTGGACTTAAATCCCGTGTGAAGACCTAATATTAACTAAAGACAAAAGACTTCTACTAACCCCCCCAAAAAAAAGATTGGTAGAAGACTCACCAAGAACCTACATTATGAAAATAACACAACTATGCTTCTTGTTGTTGTTTGTATCCTTACCAAAAAAAATGAAGAAGACTTGAAGAACTTAGATCAAAAACTATAGCCTTCAAAAAGGATAGTAACACTAAGAAAACTCCTCACCACTGGGCCAATAGACAACATCATAATAAATGAAGAAAAGATCGAAGTTGTCAGCAACTTATTTTACTTGGATCCAC